CATTAGAAAAGAAATCAATGGGGTCCAGAGTGATACAGCATGTAGAGTGCTTGCCATCTCTGGTACCTCATGTGGTCCACTGAGTCTATAAGGAGTGATCCCTGAGCCAGGCATAAGCTCTGAGCACTGCAGGGTGTGGCTCAAAATTAAGGAAAGAAGGAAGGAAGGAAGAAAGGAAGGAAGGAAGGAAGGAAGGAAGGAAGGAAGGAAGGAAGGAAGGAGAGAGAAAGGGAGGGAGGGAGGAAGAAAACCAATATTAATAGACTACAGAAGAAACATATTATTATTTTAATGGATACAAAGGACATATTTGATAAAAAACAAACATTCATAATAAAGTCTCTGCAGGTGCTAGAATGGTAATACAGGGGTTAAGGCATTTATAATTGCTGGGAGTGCCCCAACCAGAAAAAAAAATTCCAGTGACTTTATTTTTGTAGATTTTTACTTACATATTAATTACAAAATTTATATGTAAATACAAAGAAACTAGCAGAGCTAAAAAAAAAATGATATGGGCCACACCTGGTCACGCTCAGGGATATTCCCAGCTCAGCCCTTGAGAGATCATGAGGTTTTAGGGATTGGACCCAGGCCCAAAAGTCATTAATACAGTGTGATTTAAGGATAGAACAGGAGTAGACCAAATTTAAAACAACATTTATATGGTAAATTAATGTTTGGTAAAATGTTAAGGATATTTTTCAAAAGTTTTCAATAAATGTTGCCAGGACAATTAATCTCTTGAGGTAGGGTGGGAACAAAACCACTGGCAAGAATATAATTAAACAACTAGAAGTTCATTTGTTTCTGCTGGGAATACAAATGACACAAGAACCTTTGGGAAAACAGGGGGGTATCTCGTTTATGTTATATGAAACTCAACATACATATAACTCCTGGAGAAACGAATACACAGAAATAAAGCTGGAATGCAGGTGTTGATAGCATTATTACTGACAGCCCAAAGTGGAAACAATCCTATATCCACTAATGGGTGAATAAATAAATTCTTTGCCCATGGAGATTATGAGAAATGCTACTCAACAAAGAAATGAATAAATCCTAATGCAGTGTGGGTGAATTTATGAACTTTAAGCCAAGTTTAAGAGGTCAAATACAAATGACATAATGTTCTATGTTTTCATTTATACCGAATTTTGGAAAAGCCAAGGTTAAAGCAACAGGAATGTCAGTAGTTGGTTGAGGATTGAGTGGGGGGGGGGGGCATTAATGACAAGGTTTGCGAAGAAACATTGTAGGGAGAGACCTAGTTTTATAGCTTGATGGGACGAGGCAATAAGATTGTACAAATTAACAGCCAGCAAATTGCTCACTTAAAATAAATGCATTCTACTCCACAGAAATAAAAAGCAGTCCTTGATTCCGACTGTAGGTCATGAGAATGAAATAACGAAGAGAGGATTGGACCTGGGGTCCAGAGCCGTGTGTCATAGTTCCGACTCGGCTTCTACTCGGGATCTGATGTAGGGAAATTCAATTAACCCTCCTGAACTTCCATTTCAAATATAAGATTGGAGTTAACCCAGTCTTTGTCTTCTTCACTGGGATGTTTGAAAGGGCATGTTAAAAAGGCTATGCAGAAAAGGAGAGAGAGCAAGAAAAATTACCTCCCTTGGAGGGAGGCTGGAGTGGGGGTGGGGTGTTGGGGTATGGTGGGAGGGAAACAGGGGGTATGGGTGGTGGTAAATGTACACCGGTTGAGGGATGGGTGCTGGATCATTGTATGACTGAAACCCAATTATGAACAGGTTTGTAATGGTCTATCTCATGAAGAGTCAATTAAAGAAATTTTAAAAAGTAATGTGGAGTTCATGTTCAATTCAATAAGCTTGATCAATGGCTGAATAAATAGCAATACTCCTACGTTTTTTTTAAAAAAAAGGCAATACAGCCTGAAGATTGAGAGCTATTATTGGGGAAAATAAAGAATCTAGTGGGAGGCCAGCTCTCGCATCCAGAACAATGAGAATGGCTACTCAGAGTATGCAGTGGTCTCAGAGGCACAGATGCTTCTGAGGTAGCAGTAACTAAAGGAGCTCAGGTTCCTGTGCTCCATTTTCATTGTGACTGCAACAACTACTAATGCGATGCCTTTAACTGCAAATACAGAGTCGGGAGCAATAGCACAGTGGCTGGGAGCACCTGTCTTGCAAACTTAGGTCCCCCATTCAAGACCCTGTGGGTGCTGGGCACAGTCCTAGCAGCTAGGCTGTCTGCAATCTGGCACAAGTCATCTAGCTGCATCCTAGTTGGTGTGTGTGAGAACCACACAGCAGGGTGTGACCCTGAAGAGCTCACCACCAAAGAAAGAACGAGAGGGAAACGTGAGTTCTGGCGAGCATGTATGTGAGGCCCAGTGAGCGCTGGTTGACCGTGAGCTGGTTGACCGTGGCTCCACTCCCAGTGCATGACGAAAGAAGTGTGAGCACCAGCACTGGACTCCTGCCAGGCATGACCCCTGGGCACCCCAACAGCAACAGCAAAAGGGAAGGAAAGAGAGTTTAGAAGGGAGTAAAAATAACAATGGCATGTGGCTGGCGAGATAGCACAGCGGGTAGGGCATTGCATTGCACGGGGCCAATCTGGGTTCGATTCCCAGCATCCCATATGGTCCCCTGAGCACTTCCAGGAGTAACTCCTGAGTGCAGAGCCAGGAGTAACCCCTGTGCATCACTGGGTGTGATCCCCACCACCACCAAAAAGAAAGAAAGAAAGAAAAAGAAAATGACAATGGCAGTGAAAATCTTGGATCTATTTGTTATCTTATGGTCAGAAGAAAGTTTCAAACCCTGGAAAGCACTATGTCTGAGCTCTCGCCTACCTCTCTGAGTTGGTGCTGGGAAAAATGGACAGACATGCAAAATAAGACATTAGACCATGAACAGCAGATGCAAACATTAATTCAAAGAGGATTAAAATTAAAGACTTGGATGTAAGAAACGAGACTATTAAAGAAAAAAAAGAGAAACAGGTGATTGGCTCTTTGACATCAGCCTTAGAGATGTTTGGAGACTTGCCTGCAAGAGCAAGTGAAACAAAGGCACAAAATGGGCAAATGTGACATCAAACTAGAAGCTTTTGCACATGAAAGAAACTTGCATCAGAACCAGAAGACAGGCCAGGTCAAGAGCCCAAGCAGGCACACACATCTGGCGTGCACAGACCCTGGGTTGGTTTCCTGGAAGCCCAAGTACCCTATCACCCTGGAGCCCCCAATTAGCAATCAATTAGTGGTTACTAGAATGGAGGAGGGAACGGTTAGGTAAATTGGGTAAAAAGGACAGAATTGGACTTTTAGTAATGAACTTAATGTAATACACACACACATACACACAGACACGCGCGCTCACATTGATATATTTTCTTTTCTTTTTTTTTTTTGGTGGCAGGGTCAAACCCAGAGATTGAAACACCTGAGGCAGGCATTGTACACCAATCTCCAGTCCTGAATCCATGTGTTGCTTTTTTTTTATGGCTTTTTGGGTCACACCCGGCAATGCACAGGGGTAACTCCTGGCTCTGCACTCAGAAATTACCCCTGGAGGTGCTCAGAGGACCATATGGGATGCTGGGAATCAAACTCGGGTTGGCCACATGCAAGGCAAACGCCCTACCCACTGTGCTATTGCTCCAGCCCCAACGTGTTGCTTTTTGGTGAACAAGCAAATCTTGTATAAATGATAATAATTTTAGTCAAAAAATAAAAGTTCGGGCTGGAGCGATAGCACAGTGGGTAGTGTGTTTGCCTTGCACGCAGTCAACCCAGGTTTGATTCCCAGCATCCCATATGGTTCCCCAAGCACCACCAGGAGTAATTCCTGAATGCAGAGCCAGGAGTAACCTCTGTGCATTGCCATGTGTGACCCAAAAAGGGAAAAAAAAAGTTCTTTAGAAACAAGGAAAATAACCCCACTAGGACAGAGGCATCTCAGGAAATGCTTAAGAGCTATAGAAAAAGGCAACCGAGTAGGCAGACATGAATATCGATATACGCAGTAGTAATGATTAGTAGGGTTTCAAATGTGTGTAATATTAAATAGCTGGCAAGAGTAGCGCAAAGTGCAGGAAGGTTTTATTGAATTTAAATTGCCTAAGGTTAGGACTCATAGAGAAGTAGAAAAGTAATTGTACATGACTACAGTTAAAAGATGCATGTTTTTATTTCCAGGGTAACTACCAAAAGAATTGGAGAAAAAGTGGAATAATAGTTTCTATTATTGTAATAATAATAAAGTTTCTACCTGTAAAATCTCAAAGAAAACGTTTTAAACACCTCCAATAGTAAATTGTTCCAGACTCAATTTGTAAAAAAAAAAAACAAACTCAAATTGTCGTTAGTATTGGTACAACCAAATGCCTGCTATCATGTGATCTAATTATATTTTAAATTCCAAGTCTTTTTTTTTAAATAAAAGGACACAGTCATAGTTTTAGGGAAAAGGGGAAACATATTTTGATATTTTATTTGAACAGTTTTAAGGTTTACATTTTATAAGCACATTCATTTATCACTGGAAGCTAACAGCGGCCCATTAGAGCTGGTTTGCAGGTACAAAGGTGAGAGAGCTAGAATGTTCGGGACATTCTGAACCTTAAGAAAAGAACCAAAAAAAAAAAAAAAAAAAAAAAAAAAAAAGAACCACTGATCTCTCTTGGTGCCTCTCACAAAACATCTGCCGCCCCACCTCGCTGTTGGGAGTCCCCTTTCAAGCTGGGTAAATAACCCCGGCTTCTCTTCCTCTGTTCACGGACCCCTCACTCACCTGCCAAGAAGAACCACCCTGTGGGAAGTCCTGGGCAGTTTCACACCTTCTGGAGCTCCAGATTCTTCACTCACTCACTCACTCACTCACTCACTCACTCACTCACTCACTCTCACTCCATGTGGCCCTGGGGCCTGAGCCTCTGGCAAGAGAAGCCAGCCCCTCACCTGGCCCCGCAGGAGAGATTTGTATGGAGCCCCTTCCCCCCCCCCGCCCCCACCTCCTATGAATCCACTAATGTGCTCTGACATCCCACGCCCTCTGCTTCCCAGAAATGCCTACAGAAGTCAATTCTGATGTTAAGAGCAGCTTCATCCTGTGAAATTTCTGTCAAAGGAAGCTAGAGGCAGGACTGAGTTGATTTGGGGTAAATAAATTCAGGAACTGGGTGCTGGCGGCAAACTCAGCCTTCTTGAATAGTGAACTATCATTGACGTGGAAATTATGAACAAGTCACTGACGTGGAAATTAAGGCGGAAGGCAGGGCCAGGGAAGAAGCTCAAGGCATCAGCGCTGGGCTGGTTTGAAGCGCAGTGCCACGCTGTTGATACAGAATCGCTGACCAGTAGGCCCGGGTCCATCAGGGAACACGTGGCCCAGGTGGGCTTCACACTGCAAAGGAGAGAAGTTGTTACGCCCCAGCTGAGACAGGCTCGCAGGCAAAACCAAGTCAATGAACCCCGCACGCCCCCACCCCACTCCAGGGTTTGTATCTGTGCAGAGGGACATGTCCACTGCATATGAATTTAATTAAGAGGAGCAGGCTGCAGCCAGGGAGGTAGCTCAGTGGTGGTGGGTGGGGACTCGAGACCTGCCTGGCAGAACCCAGTTTCCGGTCCATCCAAGTACCACATGGTCCCCCAGGCAGTGCTGGGTGTAGCTGAGGAAGCCCTCGTGCTGAAGGCATGACCAGGTGTGGCTCTTATGGGCTCTGCCCCACTGGGCCAGGACACCCTATCTCCAGGTCCCGACGCTGACCATGTTAGCCCAGTTGGCTAAGCAGGGACTCACGCCCTACCCCATTGAGCTGAGCAGTGCTTGGAGTCCTCCCCCTATCCCCCCCCAAAAAAAATAAAATGTCAGGGAGATAATTCAAAGGGGACAGCATGTATTTTGTGTGTGGAAGCCCTGAGTTCAATCACCAGCATGATCCTATGAGTACCACTGGGAGTGATCTCCCCCAGACAAAAGCAAAAACAAAACAAGAGCACGAATGAAGGGCATTTACAGGCGAAAAGAGTCTCCTTTATGGATGAAGCTGTGAACAACTTACTGGATTTGTCCCTTGATTTGCTCAATTCTAGCGGTATAATTATTTTATACCTACCTAATGGAGCTATTGAGATAATTAAATGGAAAAATGCGTATAAGGTTTCAACACAGTTCCTGCATAAATATTGGATAATGTGGGATCTGGAGCAATAGGAGCAATAGTCCCTTGGGTAGGGCACTTCCCTTGTATGCAGCAGACCTGTGTTCAATCCCTGATACCCCATATGGTCCCCCAAGTCTGCCAGGAGAGCAGAGCCAGGAGTCAGCCCTGAGTACCTCTTTGTGTGGTTCCAAAACAAAACCAAAACCACCACAACAAACCCAAACCACTAGAAAATGCTGTAGCGTGTGTGTGTGTGTGTGTGTGTGTGTGTGTGTGTGTGTGTGTGTGTGTTTTCCCCAGAGCCACCCCTGGGTCTACTCCATGGGATGCTCAGTCTGGGGGCAAAGGCCTGACAGCCAGTGCTTGAGCTGGAACCTCACAGTCACTGACTGGCTGGACTCAGGCCTTGCCCAGGCCCTCTATACACGCTACCTCAGCCTGTGTCTTACTGAGGACATAATATGCTGCTTCTTTACTGGCCTCCGCGTTGGACCAAACTAGAATGGTTGCATGTCTAAGGCAATGCAGATGGCTCTGCCGCCTGGCCAGGCCAGTCCATAGCCATGTAGGGCCGCCTTGGCAGCTGGCGCTGAGGGGCAGAGACCAGGCGGCCAGGCTTACCTGTCTGTCCCTCTGGCATTCCTTGTCCCACGGAAAGGCCCTTTTCTGCTCTTCTGTGCCCACCAAGACATGTTCTCCTGGGTGGGGGTGTCCTATCAGCTCTGCCAAGGGCACGAGAGCTCTTTAGGGGGACAGTACCAGGAAAGCAAAGCTGATGCAACAACACCCACCTGCTTGCAGACCACCTCGGTGCGAGCCAGGCCCAAGGAGGTGTCTAGCCGCCGCAGGACCCCCGCGTTAGTCTCATCAGAGCCAGCAGCGCCGTGTGCCTCGGAGAAGGAGGGCCAGCCCGAGCCTGAGCAGAACTTCTTCTCCGAGCTGGGGAGACAGTCACCGAGCACTTGAGAGCCTCTGTCCTGCCCCCGGTCACTGCCCCAGCCACCGCGGGCTCACACAGAGGAGGAACTTCCACTCACTCCCTGGGTGGCTGGAAGCACATCACTGGGAGCTTTGTGATTTGCAGGGAAAAAACCCTTGCAGAAACCTTGTGCTTGAAATGTGAATAAAAGGAGGCCTAGGGAATGGAAAGTAAGAGCTGCCTCCGGAGGGGCTCTGGACTTCACATGGCACAGGTGCCAGATGGCTTTGAAAACGGGCACTTCCAGTGGCCTCATGAGGAGCCCGTCTGCCTGCTTGCAGGAGACAGCAGCAGCCTCGCCCTAGTCTCCGGGGAACTGCCAGCTACGTCTGGGCCTCACCCAGCCCTGAGCACTACCATGGGTGGCCCCTGAGCACACTGCTAAGAGTAACCTCTGATCACACCCGGGTGTGGCTAAAGCACCCCTCCCACCAGAAGAAAAAAAAAAGAATGACATACCATTTTACACACAATTCAATATTGAAAAATATTTCAGAATGTGTAAGAATGAGCTATATACTTGAGATATATAAACATAAATAGGGCCAGCCAGGGAGACAACTCAAAGAGCTAGTGTGTGTGCTGGGAAGACCCCCTGAACACCATGTGGGCCCCAAAACAAGCCAACAAAATTCAGTCTAGGTCTCAGGGTGAGACTGAGCAGGTACACTACATCTGTCCAATGTGTGAGGCCCTGGGTTCAATGCCCACCACAACACACACTCACATACACATTTCATTGTAGTCTCTCTGGTCCAGGGAAAAACAGCTTACACATCTTGATCAAGTATTACCACCTTTAACATGTAAGAACTATGAACAGTAACCATTCCACTTTGATCACTTTCATGGAGCATTATGAATGCAATGTTTCTTTTGGCTTCTGGGTCACACCCAGTGGTGCTCAGGCCTTACTGCTGGCTCAGTGCTCAGGCCTTACAACCTTCTGTGACTCAGAGGACAAAATCTGATGATAATCAAAGAGGCACATCATTTGATGGTTTAAGACTGGGAGCCTAAATATTAAGGCCGATCAGAAGTCCCATTACACATATGTAAATGATGATCAGACTATAATGTCTTCCCTTTAAAAACTCCAAACCCAGGTCCTTCCTTTCATATGCTCTAGAGGTGTTCCTTTGGTTAAGTATGGTCTGTGGGTTTCCTTTGTTTCTTTTCTACATTTCTGGAAATTCCACAGCCCCCAAACTGCCAGCAGCTAGTAGATACTGATGTTCGGCAATCCCGGCTTCCTGGAAGAACATGCATTTATGCCAAGCAAGGGGAGGGAATGCACACAGCATTTTTAATAATACTGTAAGCATGCAGACTGTCTGTCAGGATGCGATGTAAGAAGTGAATTAAGAACAGACTCCTGGCTTCCTTCCGAGAAAGTTTATCAAGAAATATGTGCCACAACCACCCCTGCTCCCCACCCCAGTATCACATGAACATGTCCGGGATTAGTGTATGTGAGGCAGGAGTTGTATAATGGATGAGGAAGGTGAGTGGTTGGGGGGAACTAGCACAGCATCATGTGACCCCCCACGGTTAAGGCTGTGAGAACATGCAGTTCCCAGGGACGTGAGTCGTTTCCCCATTCTCCAGGTCTCTGATTTGGATGCTGCACTTGAGAAGGCTGGGCTGCTGGGGAGAAAGGTCTTAGCTCCACTTGGTTATCCTTTTTTTTTTTTTTTTTGCTTTTTGGGTCACACCGGCGATGCTCAGGGGTTACTTCTGGCTCTCTGCACTCAGGAATTACTCCTGGCGTTGCTCGGGGGACCACATAGGATGCTGGGAATCAAACCTGGCTTGGCCACGTGCAAGGCAAACGCCCTACCTACTGCGCTATCACTCCAGCCCCTCCACTCAGTTTTCTAAGTGTTGCCTTTTAGTTGACCGACTTTACATTTCCTTTTGACTCTCTACAAATATTTGAAGGGATTTTAATGTTTTCCCCTCCCTGGACTCTCTCTGCTGAGACTGCCAAAGACAAAGGGAGAATGAGAAGCCAACAAGTCAGTATTCCTGAGATGGTGCTCCTACACAGGGAGCACACTTAGGAAGAGAGGACGGACTCCCACTGGTTAGAATCTAGCAGCAAGAGTTCCTCACTATTAAAGAATGTGGGCATGGATGGGATGGAGAAGGGTACGCTAAGTGAATGATGCTTGGAGGACTCGCTTGGGATGGGAGATGCGTGCTGAAAGTAAACTATAAGCCAAACATGATGGCCACTTACTACCTGCATTGCAATCCAATAACACCCAAAAGGAGAGAGAGAGTCAAAGGGACCCTGCCTGCCACAGAGGCAGGGGGCATGGGAAGAGGATGGGGGGTGGCGGAAGGGTTACTGGGAACATTGGTGGAGGAGAATGGGCGCTGGTGGAGGGATGGGTACTTGATCATTGTATGACTGAAAGGTAATCATGGAATTTTGTAACTGTATCTCACGATGATTCATTAAAAAATTAAAATAAATAACCTAAAACAAACACAAACAAACAAAAAAATAAAGAACGTGGGCAGACACAGAAGGATGGAGCTCTGGGGAATAACAGTGCTGACCCAAGCTGCATCCTTGGCATGCGTCAGGCAACACTGGCATGTTCACAAGGGTGAACTCATCACCCACTCAGTCCTCCCAACAATATGGACTCAGAAACATGACCAGGCCTTTGCTCACTTTTCAGGTAAGGTGAGAAGGAGACTGAGACACAGAGAGGTTAAAAAACACTTGCCCATCCTCACATGCAATGGAATCAGGATGCTGCGTGGGCAGCTTTAACCACTTGTGGACACTGCCTCTCCTACAGACAAATGCATCCCTAAGCTATATACATTCAGGCACAGGAGGTGTTCTCGTGGATACACTCTCATTTCTCTGTCTCAGTAGCAGATGCACTGAGAAAAATGTGATAGAGGGGCCAGGGATATGGCTCTGTGGTAAAGAGCAGGCCTTGCGCGTGGGGGACCTGGGCTCCATCCCTGACACTGCAAAACAAAACCTAAACAAAACAAACAAAAATCCAAAATGAGAAAGACAGAAAAGCAAGGAAGAGAAAATGGAATAGAAATAAGCCAAGAATTAAAAAGAAAAGAACAAGAAAGGAACGGAAAGGAAAGAAAAGAAGATAGAAGAAAAGGGAAGGGAAGACACTGGGGACAGAGAGAGAGGGAGAGAGAAAGAGGGAGAGAGAGAGAGGTAGAGAGAGAGAGAGGGAGAGAGGAGAGAGAAAGGGAGAGGGAGAAGGAGAGGGAGAGGGAGAGAGAGAGGGAGAGAGAGAGAAAGAGAGAGAGAGAGAGAGAGAGAGAGAGAGAGAGAGAGAGAGAGAGAGAGAGAGAGAGCGCTCCAAGGGCTGACGCAGTTGCTTTGCAGGTAAGAGGCCCAGGTTCAATTCCCCGTACCACCAGTCCCTCAAACACTACTGGGAGTGACCCTCAGGCACCAAGCCTTGAGTATCCCCCAAGCATAACTTTTCAACTAAGACTAAATGAGAGAAAGGAAATAAAATAATCAGTGGGATAACAGTTCAGTACACTGGCGACAGGGAAATGGACTTCCGGAGAACTGACCGGCTTTCCTATTAGTACTGGCTGGTCCATCCCTCATCTTCCTTACTTGGGCCCAGCACTGCACTAACAGAATGGCCACCAGCCACAAGTGGCCGTTTAGATTTAATAAAGGTAAAGGTAAGGTAAAGGCCCTCCCGTTGATCGTCGATTTGCTCGGGTGGGCCCAGTAACGTCTCCATTGGAGACTTTGTTGTTACTGTGTCTGGCATATCGAATACTCTCGGTAGCTTGCCGGGCTCTCCGAGAGGGGCGGAGGAATCGAACTCGGGTTGGCCATGTTGGCCGCTTGTAAGGCAAACGCCCTACCCGCTGTGCTATCGCTCCTTAATACTATTTAAAAATCAACCTTCTAGTTATATTTCTAGTGTCCAAAAGTCTTGTGCAATCAGTGACTGCCACACCTCTGAGCACTGCGAGAAGTTCTGATGGAAAAGGTCTTCGCTCCTCTCCCCTGTGTGTACCCACACTCACAATCCTGACTGAACCACACAGTGGGGAGATGGGGGGCACTGGGGAAGAAGAAAGGGCAACACTGTTTTCATTAGTATAAACAACACCATCAATAAAGCCCGAGGTGAGGAATGAACTATGTGCTGGAGGGTCTTTCTCAGGATGCTTCTCATCCTTTGTCTTTCGAGTTGAAGAGAGGAACATCCACAGCTGGAGAGAGGAACCTCTGCCTTGGACCACACTCAGGCCGGTCCTCGCGAGCCCCTTCTCTTTAGCAGAGCCATAGGCCAAGCAGTAACTAGTGCTCAGGAATCTGCATCTCACATGTCACTGAAGCAGTTTGGAACCATTTCTCCCACTTTTTCCCAGGCCTGGCCAGGCTGCCTGCCACTTCAGTTTTACCCTGTAAGCCTGGGCAAAGCCCTTCCCGGACTAAGAGGGAAAAAAATCAATAGTAATCATTCCTCACCTCTGCAGGCGGAATCTGGTTTTCCAAATCCAGCCCACGTTAGCAGCCAACAGCCCAGGGAAGCCCAGTTTGCTCTAAGCACTCCCCTCAAGGAAGAGTTACAGAGCTGGATTGATTTATATTGTATTCTAAACCAATTTAGGGTTGATGCAAAAGAGAGGCAAACATCTTTGAAGTTCTGAAAAACAGGACTTTCTTTCTTTTCCATCACATCTACTTATTATTTTTTTCAGACTGTTTCCTACATGTCTAAACAAAAAGCCTTTGTTGAAAGATTTCAGATCCTGATTGACTTAAAAGAGGCTTTGAAATCAAGGGACAATTAAATTTACTTTTAGCTACATAGATGAGGGCATGGTATTCAGTACTGTCAAGCATTGTGGGGAATCTATCCTCATAAAATTCTACATTTCCTAAATTAAGTTATAAGCCCATTTTCTCTGGGAGAGAGATGGTTTTAATCACATGGCCAAGCAAATACTATTACGGTTTAAATTTCTTTAAATACTTTCCCAGGGGAAAAAAATTCTAAGAGCTTTATCTTAAGGTATCCACACGTTTTATTTGTTTGCTATTTCTCAACGATATAGAAAGGAAGAATATAAACTAGGAAATCGTGTTCACTGCTCTAAATTCCAGAAATAAGACAGCCAAATCTTTCTTGGAATAAGTAGGCATCCTTCTAGCAATGATGCTGAACAGGAAAGCAACTGAAACCCACATGGGCCTGTATTTATCCTAACTCCAAGGAGCCAAAGCATATGAATGTGGAGGTTTGTTCTCTTTGGTATCACTCACTTATCTCACCTGAAGAGTGGGCTATCACAGCACACACAGTGATACATTCCTGGTTCCTTGTTATCCAGGTAGCTCCCACTGAAAGGCTGAAAGGGAATCAGACACATCAAGTTTAGGTTCCTTGTAATGTTAGGAGGACAGGATGTGGCAGACTTAAATCCTGATTACCTCCTCCAATACAGAAATCTTTGTACTAGCTAAAGTACAAGTCTCATCAGAGAGGAAATGATGATGTATCCAGTGTAACAGACTTCAGGCTTGTTCCCAACCCAGCCCGTATTCAGTCAGGTAATCAAAGTATGACACTAATACTACTTTGTCTTCACATAAAGGGCCAAAAAGAAAAATAAATCCCAGAGAAATCCAGAAAAGGGTCCGCTGACTTGTTGATGATTTTGGTCTACATTTCAAAAGAGTTAACGTAGCAAAAATCTAATTCGCTGTCAAAAACCATCTGAAATCTCCAAAAGCAAGACAACATAAGTATGTGTAAAGCAGAGAGCTCATTGAGACCCAGGTTATGGTGTTTAAGACACTGCACAGCAATACATGGTAAACTGTGAGTTTGGTTTGTCCTGGTGCCAGGGTAGTACTGAGATGAAATGACTGTTATTTACTGTGATAGCTTTCAAACCATCTCCCCAGAGAAACACAACGAGATGCAAGGCAATGAGCAAGATGAGTCAGTGTCTTTTTTAAGTGTTATCTTGAAAATTCAATCTCCCTGTTAAAAAGCAAAAGGCTGGTTCAGCCCAGTTCCTTCTGTTCTTTTATTGCATCTGCAGTCAAAGAAGATGGGAGGGGAGAAGTTCTTGCAGAAGCTAAGTAGGAAGGCCCCTGGTGAGAGCATGGTGGCAGGCATGACCCGCCTGATGGGATGGAAGAGAAGCTCACCAGGGCACTGAGCTGACTTGGGGAATCAGCTGTGCTCTGTACCCTCGCGGTTCCCTACTGAACAAACCCCCAGCTCTGACATGTGAACCCAGGGAGTTTCGGTGTCAACTGCACAGAGGGAGTGACAGTAAGTTTTAAAACCTTCCATGAGAAGGACTCCTTAACTGACACAATGTATGAGATGGGGGTTCTCTGCTGCTTCCCTGCCTGGTTTCCCCGTCTCCCCATCCCTCTCACCAGTTAATACCAGTCAGTACTTAGCTAGTCAGTACCAGTTAGTACCCAGCTAGTACCAGTCTTATTCGGGACCAAACTCTGTTGGTCTTTCAAGAGTTCCTTCCAGGATTTACCTGAAGACCTAGCCTTTCTCGAGAACTCCTAGCTAGGCTGAGTGCTCAGGCTATAGAGTGGAAAAGCAATCCACAGGATGGGAAGCATGTGCTGGTGTGTGGGGCAGAACAACGGGAGCCAACAGAGGGTTCCGCCCACCCAGGGGTAAGAGTCGAGACTGGGGGAGTCGCCGTGCCTTTCTGTACCAAGTAACATCTAAAACGGGGGCTTTGAGAGAACTCCTGTCTTATTTTTATTTGTTTCTGGGCCATACCCAGTGATGTTCAGTGCATTCAGGCATCTCTCCTGGCCCTGCTCAGGGGCCCCTATGGCACCTTGCCTACTGTACGATTCTCCAGCCTCCAAGATCACTTGTTTTAAATACACAGCCTGATTGATGTGTAGTATAGGAAAGCGCTGTCACAAAGGTGCATTTTGTATGATGAGTAGGAGTTAATCAGATGAAGAAATCGGAGATTTCAGGTAGAACAGATTAAGGTGGAGATTGAGGGAAGGGGATGCTGAGAAGGCAGGGGGCAGGTGACGGGGCATTTTATATCCTATGAACAGGAAAGCTGCTGGCTGGGGTACACCAGGCTCGTGTGGTCACTCGGTATCCACGCAAAGAATGGAATAGAGCCAGGTAAGACACAAGGCAAGAAACAGTCACACAGGTATGTGGCAGAGCCATAACTAAGAGGCCATCCTAAGAATGATTTAGGAGAGGGAAGCAAAATGACTGACTGTGATTAGAGATGGAAAGAGGTGTGAAATAACTCCTGGGCTTTCAAGGGCTGCCTGGACTGAATGTTTATCCTTCCTCCTAGTTATGTTTAGGTCCTAACCCCTAATATGATAGTAATAGGAGGTGGGGGGTTTGTGGGGGGATACTTAGGTTATTTAGGTGAGCCTTCATGAGTGAGCCATGGCCCTCAAAAGAAAACATAAAAGAGAATTCTCTCTCTCTACCATGTGAGAATAGAGCACAAAGCCAGACATCGGCAAATGAGGAAAAGCGTTCTCATGAGGGTCCCGATTTGCTGGTACCTGGATTGTGAACCTCCCTGCTGCAAGGACTCTGAAGGAAATGTTTGTCATTTAAGTTCCCCAGTCTATGAGAGAAAGCAACAGTCGCCCCAGCTAAGTCAGCTGTCCGCATCAAGAGCTGGCCAGTGAATTTTCAGCAAGTCAACACAGCATCCCTGCAGGAAACATGCTATACACAGCAGGCTGAGCTGCAGATGCTTCCTTAGGGAACTATCTGCAAGGAAAGGGCAGGAGCTGGCAAATGGACACAGATGGGAATGACCCCAGGGTCAGTGACTCTAAGAAGGCATGTCCCCCGCCGGCCAGGGGACAGAGCGGAGTTAGCCTGCAGGGTGGAGGCCAAGCTGCGCTAGAGGAGTAGAGTCTAGAGAAGACCCTGCATCTCACATCTCTCCACTGCTGGTGCCCTTGGTCTGATCTCCCAGTATCGAGACTCAACACTCAGCAAGACAAGGCTGCCTCGAGCTGCCTCTGGCGACCATGCTCTGGGCCTCTTCCTCTTGCTGTCCGCCCTCCTGGAGTGAAGCATGATGAAAACAGATGTAGAGGGCAGGGCAATGATGACTGCAGAAAGTCTCCCTCCCACTAAGAAGCAGATCTTTGGTGACTGCTCACCCAGGCTGGAAACTCAAAATACCAGCGCATCACTGTTGCCCAGTGAAAAACAGGTGCAACTGAACTCTAATTATATGCCACTAGATGGAAATTTAGTGATGGTTTGATGCTGGATGTCTGACCCCTTTTCATCTTGCAAAGCTGAACTAATGCTCCCATTTATGCAATATTCTCCGAAGTTAAATGTGAGCACGAATCCACTGAAAGAGATTTTGAACATGAGTTATAATAATAAATGATGCTCATTTTGTAAAATGGCCAAATGCACCAAGGACTGTGCAACCATCTGTTTGAGAATCCCGTTGGTTTATTCCCCTAAACATCTGGCAGCTCATTTGGGGAATCGGAATACATACCAATCCCTGCTGAATTGTTCCCAAGCATCGGGCTGGCCCAGGCGATCCTGGAAACACTTGCTGCTGTGAGCAGACTACTCCGTGATCTGCTTTCGACAAGGGCAGCCCCTGGGGTCTCTTTCCCAGTAAGGCTGCATTAAACACACACACTGGAACACCCCACACTGTCCCACCTCTCCCTCTGCAGCTCCCCCATCCACCAGGAAGGTTTTCAAGGGTTAGTATTTCATGCAAGCCAATGGGGATCTGCTAGCTGACTAATTATTTGAGCATCAGAGAAACTGGAGGTGATACCAGGTCAGGATGGCCATGAGCACGTGGACACATGGAGAGTATTCTGCTGGGACTGCCAAGGACACAGATACTCCATAGCCCAGTGAAATCACGGCGCTGTGCGCCCCTCTGAGTTCTGCTCAACAAGTATAAACATCTCAACATCAAGTCCAACTGCTCCACGCCACTGACTGAACTTGGGTCTAAAGCAGCCCCAAGTAAGAGCCAGTGCCACCTTGTTAAGGAAGGGGAACTGTCAGGGGTGGGGGTGAATGTGAGAGGATGGTGTTTTCATGGGAACACTTGGGACCTGTTCTCTTAGGAAATGACAAAGCCGAGGTGCTTTGATGCAGTGTAAAGAATGTTTCCACCATTCACCTGAGACCATCCCAGATTCACAAAACTCTCCTTTTTGAAAGCCTAAGCGCCCTACTGAGTGCCAGAAATGTGCCAATGAAGGCGGGTCTGTGAAGGAAAAATACTGGGCAAGACGAAACCAACCTGGGTCTGAGACAGGGCGACTTTGCTGAGGAAAGAGGTTTGAGCTGAGAGCTGAAAGGGAGGTTTGACTAAATTATGAGGTTGGGGAGGGTGCAAGAAGAGACAGACTGAGCATGCGAGGGCCCCAAGGGAGAAGGAAGCCCAGAGCATTCGAGGGCCGGAGAGAGGGTCCAGCAGCCAAAGTGCAGAGACTAAGATGGAAAATGGGTGGGTGGAGGGATGGGACAGGAGGTCAGGGCGGGGGGACAGGAAGGTCTCATTAACTACTGAGTGGCAGGGTCGGGATTGGGCCATATCTGGCTGTCAGCAGGGCTTACTCCTGGAGTGCCGAGAGAACCACATGCAGTGCAGGGGACAGAACCAGGGTCCACCACATCAACCACAGCAAGGCAAGAGCCCCCTCCATTGTACCAGCTCTCCGGTCTCTTCCAAGTAATTTTGAGACCCTACCCTTGACTTCTAATCTGTGGGAAGCTACTGGAGACCTGGGTGTGGAGTTGGATATAGTGAAATTCTGTTGGCAGTACAGCAGAGAAGGGCAAAGTGAGGGGCAAGGCCTGGGAGAGGAACAGTGGGGAACACTGCAGTGAGTTGGGCTGAGGTGGGGAGCTGAAGCGCGTGGAGGAGAGATCGGCAGAGAGAAGGGGAGACTGGAAGGTTCTTCAGGAGGCTAGACATGCAGTTGAGGGGATGGAGGGTGGAGAGCCCACTGCTGGACCGATGGGACAGTGGGCAGGCGGGGAGAACACACCTGCAAAGCAGATGCTGACAGTTACATGGTCAGATCAGGGCAACCTCCCACCCCAACACATCTCACCAGAACACCAGCAACCATAGTAGCTCACCGGTTCAGTCCCTTTTTCTCTCGTGACATAAAACTGCTCTGGAGTCAGCTTCTTCCGCCATTCACTCTCAGACAGTGCTCGCTCGGGCTTGGTGAGGGACCCTGGATTGGCAAGGGATTTTGTTAGTACAAAAAAAATGTTATTAGTCCTTCCTTTGCCTTGTTACCTGTAGTGCATTAAACCTTAAAGAAGCTGACAGAATCTTCCCTGCTTTCTCTGCCCACCTTCTTTATGGAGACCAGAAAGCTCTAGTACAAAAATGCTTTAATTGACTCATTAGTTTAATACCAAATGAGTAATAAGAAGAGAGCCTCGCTGTCCCTTTGGGGTATGGGAGCTAAAGAGGGAACTGAAATATGAATGTGGAATAGATTCTCCTCAGGTACCTAAGGGGAGAAATTGATCCTCTCTTCCATTTCGACTTTCAAAGGAATATTTCCTGTCAGGATACAGCTGGGAGTAGTTGAGTGATTGGAGAGAAAAGAACGTGGAGCTAGTGGGTTATTAAACTCCTCTCCCTTGCTGCTTTATAAAGAATTCTCTGATTACATTTGTCAAGGGAGGTCTTTATTAAAAATTCTTCCTCCGTAGAAAAGAAGCAGCTCCTGTAGCTGATGCCCCTGAAGGGGAAACTGAGACAGACTACAATCCATTCTGCCTGGTTTGGGGCTCCATTTTGTTTTCCCCATTTTCCCTCTTCCTTTGCACTTTTATTCCAATGAACAAAAGCTAAGTCACTAGGTAACTAGTCAGCCAAAGGGGGTAGACAGGACGTCCAAAGTACTTAATAAATGTTTTAATCATCCAACACTGAGAATACAAAAATACCTTATAATCTACTTGATTCTTCAGCTTATCAATAAGAACTGCAAAGAGCTAGTCCTCTGACCATGGCATTGAAGATGAACTTCAAAACACTTGTGATGTCACTACTCCTCTATCAAATACGCCAGAAATTATTTGAATTCAGTTTTGGTTACCAAAAAAATCCTAAATAATCTTTCCAGAAAAGACTAATATCTTCATCACACGTTCATAGTGATGCACAGTGTTTTCTATATTCTTTTGTGTGAATTGCTTGTAGGTGTTTACATTTTATTCAGGATTTTTTCCCCATTAAATATAGTCAAGGCTGTCCTTTTCTTAGCTAGTTAAATGGCTTCTGCTGTTGCATTAACAGGCTCTACCTGACAAATCTGGATTCTTTAGGGTTCCTCTGTGTGTGTTTTGTGATTTGCACAAGATGCTTTTCCTGCTGGCCATGGTTCCAAGGGGTGGGACCCCATTTTCTCATTTTCATGGAAACCCACTTTTGGTCATACCCATTGGCTACCTCCTTTCAGTTTTGCTTCCTTTGTGGCTATAAGATATATATATATATATATATATATATATATATATATATACACACACATGCAAGCCAGCCCAATTTCCAGAGAACTTGTTGAAACAAAGGGAAACTATTAGAAAATTAACAAATAATTCACAGCCCATTTTCATCTGCAAACCTCCGTTTGTTTCTCTTTCCCACGCCAGTGGGAAAGATTTTTAACATTCTCCAAAAGGTTTCCAACCAGAGTAGATCTAGAAAGAATCCTTTCCTGAAACAATGGGTTGCTTTCTCCAGGATGCTTATTTTCCTCTCCCAATTAGCTCTTTTGTCAGTGCGGGTGACAAAAAACCACAGGGGCCTTGCTTCTGACCAACCTGAAATGTCAGTGTCTCCATCACTTTCAACATTTCCTTTCTCACTCAGCTTTTCCCAAGTACAAAACATAAATGGGCCACCCTTTTGTCCTTACATTTATTTTTGTAATCATAACTAAAATGTGTTGTGTACTTACAAAGTACCAATCAAATGATACAGCATTTTTCATTAATTTTGCATATTTATTATCCTTTGCATCCTTAGTTTAAACAATAAGTTTAAGTTGTTGACACTTAAGCATTTAAATTTTTATTTATTTTTGCTTTTAGGGTCACACTCGGTGATGCTTAGGAATTACTCCTTGCGGTGCTTGGGGGAGACTATATGGGATGCCGGTGATCGAAGCCGGGTGAGCCCCGTGCAAGGCAAAAACCCGCCCCGCTGTGCTATCAACTCCAGCCCAACCTTAAACTTTTTAAGCAACTTGTTATCAAGTTCAAGATACATCCGGGTTCAAATACGCAGAGCCAGTAAGAGGGGCTTGTGGACAGAGAGCTTCAATGCAAAATAATTATTTTCAGTTGGGTTACTAGTTTATTGGGCTGGGCTCAGCAGTAGGGCGTTTGCCTTGCATGCGGCCCACCAGACCGACCCTCCGCCCCTCTCGGAGAGCCTGGCCAGCTACCCGCAAGGCAAAGCCTGGCAAGCTCCCCCGTGATGCATTCAATATGCCAGACACAGTAACAAGAAGTCTCACAATGGAGACGTTACTGGGTCCGCTTGAGCAAATCGATGAACAACCGGAGGAGGACAGTGCTAAAGTGCACTAGTCTATTGAACTGACATGGTTTACCCAAGCATTTCTCTTTTCCTTAGGTTTGGAATTCATACCCTGCAGTGCTAGAAGGTACTCCCGGCTCTGTGCTCACGGGTTGCTTGCAGAGGTGCTTGGGGGAATCCTATGGCACCAGGAATTAACCCCAGCCTCCTGCAGGCAAGCTGCTCTCTCCTGCCCTACTCCAGCATGTTTTAACCCATGCAGAATTGGGTGATAGCCAGTTTCTGCTCTTCACGGAGTAGAATCAAAAATGTCTCTGCAGATATAATTGTGTCCTTCCCCCACCTCCCACCCCCAGGTCGGGGTGTCTGATTTGCTACACAGTTCCTGTGTCTGGCCACCTTTTAAGGTGAAAACCTCAATCCCACGGGTGCAAAGGCGAAGGGCCAGGTTCCAGTGAGATCACTATGGGCAGGGAACGGGGGCTCCAGCCCATCAGGCGGTATCAGTGCGCTAAGCACAGCCCTCCCGGGTTCTGCAGGCCACAGGAAGTCTCGTGGTGGGTCAGACACCGGTCCACGAACCCAGTGGTTCTATTCAAGTGACGTCACAGTCTGAAAACTTCGGCAGGGAGAGTTCCAGGAGGCTGTGCGTGCGTTCCCGGGTAGCTCTCTTAAAAAAAATAAAAAAGCAGAATTGGGTTCAGGCCGGGAAGATGATCCCCGAAGGGCACTAGCCCACCCGGGACCACTGGAGACGGGGGTCTCGGTTCGGGGGTGGAGGTGGGCACGCTGCAGAAGGCGCTCGCCCAGCTATCTCCCTGGCGCGGGTCCCGGCCCCGGACGGTTCGTCCGACACCAGCCGACGGCGAGTCGCCAGGCGCAGGGGGCATCGGCGCCCACGTCTCCCGGGAAACCACACGGGGACCCGCGCCCGCCGCTCGGACGCGGAGACAGCATCGCGACTCGGGCGGGGGCAATCGCGGCCACGCCCGGGGACAGCGGGGCCCACCTTTCAGGGGAAGGAAAGAGCGGACACGGCGGCTGCTCCGTGGACAGCGAGTGGGCAGCCCTTGCAGTCCTCGCCCGCAATGAGTGGGGCAAGGGCGCCCTGAACACATCTCGGGGGCCGAGAAGCGCCGGCCACGGCCCAGCGCCCGGGCACCCCCGGCCCGCGGGAGAAGCCAGCGCCGAAGGCGAGGGCGGCGGCGGGAACGCCGGTCCTCCTACCTGCGTCTCTGGGCCTGGCTCTTGAGCTCAGGCTGCAGCCTGCAGCTCGGCCCCAAACAGATCGCCCGGGCGCAGCTCGCAAGGGCAAGGCCCAAAGGGCTCGGAGGACACGCGCCATGACGCCGCGTCGGGCCCCAACGGGTCTGCGCCGGGAGGCCCCGCCCCTCCCAGCCCCGCCCTAAGCCCCGCCCCAGGCTCCGCCCAGATCCCCGCTCAAGCTCCGCCCCACCCCTGTCCCCGCTCAGGCCCCGCCCCACCGCAGGCCTGCGAACTTGCTTGTCCTCTGATGAAGAGGACAAACAAGAGATTATCTTGCTTCTCCTGTGAGGCCCCCACCTTCCGCTCAGAATATGTATTTTGGCTTGCTCTTCAAGCCCGTGCCCTCCCTTGAACATGTATCGCACTTGCTTATGTATGTCCCTGCTTTTTTCCATTCTGGTTGAAGCCCCATGTTCTCTCTCTCTCTAGAATTACTCTGACATATACAGTTACAAAGTTGTTCATGATTGGATTCTAGTCATACTATGTTCCATCATCTATCCCTTCACAAGTGTACATTTCTCACCACCAATGTCCCTAGTTTCCGGGCTGTCATCTCCCACCCCCAGCCCAGTCCCAGCCTGTATCTGCCTCTATCGCAGGCACTTCTCTGTCTCTGTCTCTTCTTTTGGCATTATGGGTTGCAGTACAGATACTGGGATTTCAGCACATGGTTCTTATCCAGAGTTATCATTTCCAACTATCTGTCATGGTGATCCCTTCTCTATCCCAGCTGCCTTCTCCCTGAGCACTTGAGGCAAGTTTCCAACTGTAGACCAATCCTGCTGGCCCTTATTTCTACCGACCTTGGGTACCATTAGTCTCATACTATATTTTTTTAAATATCCCATGTATAAGTGCAAAAATTCTATGTCTGTCCCTCTGCTTCTGACTCATCTACTCAGTATGATACTCTCTACGTCTATTCATTTATAAGCAAATTTTATGACTTCATGTTTCCTAGCAGCTGCATAGTATTCCATTATGTAGATGTACCATAGTTTCTTTAACCAATCGCTTGTTTAACTAGCCAATCTGGGTTGTTTCCAGATTCTCCATGTTCTCTCTTGAGCATCCACTTCCCTTCTTTCTTCCCCTCAAAACTTCCTGCACTGTAGCACTGTAGCATAGTCCTCCTGTTTTTCATCGATTCGCTCAAGCAGGCATCAGTAATGTCTCATAACAAATTGTGAAACTTGTTGTTACTGTGTTCGGCATATTGAATACGTCATGGGGAGCTTGTCAGGCTTTGCCATGCCAGGCTTGGCCCTCTCCGAGAGGGCGGAGGAATCAAACCTGGGTCCGCCATGTCAGCCGCATGCAAGGCAAATGCCTTACCTGTTGTGCTATTGCTCCAGCCCCAGTCGATCGTATTCCTCATCTATGTTGTCGATGATGGCATCTTCCCAGTTGGTGGTCGTTCTGGAAGTTCTCTTCTTAAACTTTGCAGCCCTTTCTTCGCACTCTGTGAAGTAGAATTTTATACAAAGGAGACGGTGGTCCGATCCCGTTTGGAATTTTGGGACAACAGCGACATCAGTCAGGCAAAACCGTCGATTGAATATGATGTGGCCAATTTTGTTGTGGAACCGTCCACCGGGTTCCTAAGTATCAATAAAAACAATACTGCTTCACTGAAAGAATATATATTTTTATTTCTTTATTAAAAAATTTAAATTGAATCACTGTGAACTACATATACATATATAGGTATTTTAATTTTTATTGAAAAAATTATAATCGAATCATGGTGAATGACAAAATTATTCATGACTGAGTTTCAGGAGTTTCAGCATACAGTGTTGCAACACCAATCGCATAACGGGTGTCCATCTCCCTCCACCAATGGTCCCCAGTTTCCTTCCTGCTCCCCAGCCTATGTGGTCCTCCCAAGGATCAAACCAGGTCACTTCCACTCCCCCCACCTGGTTATTGGTGTCATACTTAGAATTTCCGCCTACCTCAAACTTACAAAGAATTTTCTATGTTTTGTCTTTAAATTTTTTTTAGGTTTTTGGGCTACATCCAGCGATACTCAGGGGTTACTTCTGGCTCTATGCTCAAAAATTACTATGCTCAAAAATTACTCCTAGCAAGCTTGAGGGACCATAAGGGGTGCCAGGGATCGAACTGAGGTTTGCTGCACACAAGGCAGGCACCCTACCGGCCCCTATGTTTTATTCTTAAAGTTTTATAGTTTTAGGTTTTACACTTAGGCCTGTTATAATTGAAAACACGTGTCTAAAGTAGATTTATGCTCGGTCTCCACCCAGATTTACTGCCTCGTCTAATTATTGTCTCAATTTCTCCTGAATGGCATCTTAAACCACTCAGTCTGTGGTATCTGGATCCGAACCAGTGAGGACTTATGCAATAAAAGATCTCCCACCTCTACCTTTTCCCTGAGGAAAGGTGGCTTTACCTAAAATAATCTTTCTTTTCTTTTGCTAATCACCTTGTCCCACCTTCTTTCTGATTTAGAACCCTGCTCTTTGCCCAGTCCCTGTGTCTTTCATCTTGCTCTATTCATGTGTCATTTAATAAAGCAAATTAGATTATAGTTTTGTGGATTTCATTTTTGGGTGGTGGGGGAGGTTTGGGTCACACACTGCCTTGCTCAGGGTTTACTCCTGGCTCTTGAGGAGGCAAGATTTAATGGGGCTGACCACAGGTAAGACAAAGCAACTTAAGCCCCATAAATATCTGTCCATCCCCTAGATTTCTTATTTTAACAGATCTATGATTAGTTTTGAGTTTATTTTTACATAGGTAAATTTTCTAATTTGTTGTTATTGTTCTGTATATGACTGTCCAATTGTTCAGGCACCATTTGTTGAAAACAAAACAAAACAAAATTATTCTGTCTTTGTAATTATGGGGGGGGGGGGGACCAAGTGCCAGTATTGAATTCAGGACCTCACTCATGTAAGGCACATGCTCTCCTTCTAACTATGAAGCCCCAACCTAGACCTGTCTTTGAATCTTTGTTAAAACCAATTTTTCCATGAGTTTGTGATTTTTTCCCATTGTGCCTTTAGTCTATTCTTTTCTCTCTTTATTCAGTATTACAGTGTTCCTATCACAGGCTTGGAAAAAGCTAGCGTTAACACTATAATCCTATTCTTTTCCAGTGCTGTTTTGGCTATTCTAGGTCTTTCATATTCTATAACTTTATTTCTGTGTGTCTCATGTACTTCTTATAGACTATCTAGACAGTTATTGGAAATAAAATCCTTATGAAGATAAAGAAGAACCCATTTGCTTTTTCCTACCAAAAAAAAAAAAACTACACTTTAAAAAGGCAAAAAAAAAAAAACCTAATAAAACAAACAAACAAAACCCCCACACATAACAATTGTACAAATACTATGGGACAAAATAAGCATTGCTAATCTCCCTGATGGAAGAACCCATGTGCTCAAAGTTCAGCAATGTGGTAGAAAATTTTTCCAGATTTTCTGCCACAATCTAAAAAACATTAAGAAATGAACCCACTGGGGAATATCTACTATCTATATAAGATATATTTAAAATATCCAAAGCAATGAATGACATTTTATCCAAAGTGGTAAGTGGTATAATAGAAAAAGTAGAGAGTGAGGGAGGCCCTGGGTTTTGTGTTCAGTGATGCTCACCTCCAGGGTCCAATTTGGGGCTTGGTTTGATCATCCAGATGGCTAGGGCTAGGGAGTGAATGATATCTAAACTCTCTTCAATAAGAAATGCTCTTAAAAAATAAAAAAGCTTTGATAAAGATATGGAAAGACTTTTTCCCAAGTGACTTTTAGTTATAAAATGGAAGAAACATCATCCCCTGCTTCCCATAAAGCTGAAAAGTGAAGAATAAAATAATATTCAGGACTCAGTGGTAAAGCATATGCCTCTCATGCATGAAACTTGATTTGACTCTGTCATCACAAAACAAGCAAAAAATGAAATAATGTTGAAAGTAACAGATTTAACTATCACTATCTCAAAGTTACTTCATAAAAATTGAAAAAATAACAGTTAAAATATATGCAGTGGGTGGAGAATATATTTGTATAGAGATAATACTGGAGAAGCAACATGAAGTTGCCTTTTTTAGGAAAAATAGTCGTAAAAAAATAGAGCCATATAACAGGAAAGGCTCTTGCCTTGCATGCAACTGCCTTGGGTTTAATCATTGACCTCTTCCAGAAATATCTTCCCAGACACACTCACAAATGATGTTCATGGGTGTCTGGATATCCTGCTGCTATTTTCTGGGTATCCCATTGCCCTGTCAAACTGACACAAAATTAACCATCACAGAGCTAAATTAGAAAAATAAGGAAAACCACAGGGAACAGTTGTAATCACTTGTAAACACGGACGATTACAAGTGTAAGAGAAACTAATGGTATCTGTATGGGCAATACCCAAGTCTTAACTGTTAAGAGTATGAGAAAGTGGTTTGCAAAACAGGGAAAAAAACAATAGTGAACAAATGTGTGGAAGAGGCTTACGTTTCCTAATAAAGAATTGCCAGTCTGTCAAACTTTTAAGAGTAGATTTAAAATATTTATATAAGTGTGTGTGTGTGTGTGTGTGTGTGTTGATAAGGATAGAATCCAGGGCCACACATATGCAGGAAAAGGGTTTTACTACAAAGCCCTAACCCTAGCCAGATCACAGATTAAAAAAAAAACAAAACCCAAACCTAGTGTATGTAGAGACAGTGGCTTACATTGCTTGTAGAAAAAGTGACATGCTTTGTTTGGAAAGAAATTTGAAATGTACCAGGGATCACAGAACTCATTGCATCTTTTGATTCGGCAAATCTGCTTTAGGGAGCAAATCTCCAGGAAAGAATTCAATAAAGGAGAACGCCAAGTTTTACAACGCTGTTTAAAGCTGTGCTTTTCATAATGGCAGAAGAATCCAAAATCATTAACAGCCAGGAAATGGCTAAGTAAATCTTGCTGTAGTGATACAATAAAACATTAGCTACCCATTAAAACATCAAATATAAAGATTATCTGGATTTATGGAGTGATTTGTATGAAAAAAATGTCAAGGGGGAAAAGTAGAATACAAAATAGTTATTACCTTAGACTAATCACATGTAAATACTATGAAAGTAATTTCTTCTGAAGC